AACGGTGAGCATGAAAGTTGTTCATAACGGATCACTAACTCTTAATCCATAACCAGTTGTAATATAACAGTAGCTGTTTTCTAGGAGTGTCGCTAAAATCGCCAAAATGTCAGAATGGATTATTATTTATTAAAACAATCCATCACTGCTCAAAATCTGTGGATGATTGAAAAAAATGTTATGCATAAAAATTGTTCATAATGGACCAAAAAAGCTAAATCCATAACCGGTTTTAACCTAACTGTCAATGTCTTCTAAAATTATTGCTAAAACCTAAAAAATGTCAAAATGCGGTACTTTTCACTAAAGATGCATCACTACTTAAAAGCTGTAGATAAATGGGAACAACGTTATGCATAAAAATTGTTCATAATGGACCAAAAAAGCAAAATCCATAACCGGTTTTAACCTAACAGTCAATGTCTTCTAGGAATAGCGCAAAAATCTTTAAAATGTCAAAATGGGGTACTTTTCACTAAAAATGCATCACTACTTAAAAGCTGTAGATAATAATTTGGAAAAATGTTGTGCTTAAAAATTGTTCATAATGGACCAAAAAAGCAAAATCCATAACCGGTTTTAACCTAACTGTCAATGTCTTCTAGAAATATTGTCAAAATCTCTAAAATATCAAAATGGATTATTATACATTAAAGAATCTATCACTACTCAATAACTGTAGATGATTGGGAAAAACGTTGAGCATGAAAGTTGTTCATAACCGATCAATAACTCTTAATCCATAACCAGTTATAATATAACAGTAGCTGTTTTCTAGGAATGTCGCTAAAATCTCCAAAATGTCAGAATGAATTATTATTTATTAAAAAAATCCATCACTGCTTAAAAACTGTGGATGATTGAAAAAAATGTTATGCATAGAAATTGTTCATAATGGACTAAAAAAGCAAAATCCATAACATGTTTTAACCTAACTGTCAATGTCTTCTAACAATATTGCTAAAACGTAAAAAATGCCAATATGCGATACTTTTCGGTAAAAATGAATCACTACTTAAAAGCTGTAGATTATTAAGAACAATGTTATGCGTCAAAATTGTTCATAATGGACCAAAAAAGCAAAATCCATAACAGGTTTTAACCTAACTGTCAATGTCTTCTAAGAATATCGCTAAAACCTAAAAAATGTCAAAATGGGGTACTTTTCAGTAAAGATGCATCACTACTTAAAAGCTGTAGATAATTGGGAACAATGTTATGCATAAAAATTGTTCATAATGGACCAAAAAAGCAAAATCCATAACTGGTTTTAACCTAACTGTCAATGTCTTCTAGAAATATTGTCAAAATCTCTAAAATATCAAAATGGATTATTATACATTACAGAATCTATCACTACTCAATAACTGTAGATGATTGGGAAGAACGGTGAGCATGAAAGTTGTTCATCACGGATTACTAACTCTTAATCCATAACCAGTTGTAATATAACAGTAGCTGTTTTCTAGGAATGTCGCTAAAGTCTCCAAAATGTCAGAATGAATTATTATTTATTAAAAAAATCCATCACTGCTTAAAATCTGTGGATGATTGAAAAAAATGTTTT